TTTTTTACAATGATTTAGCGGTAGAATAGAGATAGATACGTCTCTTTTTTTACAATGATTTAGAGGTGGAATAGAGATAAATGATCTCTTTTTGGACAATGATTTAGCTGTGGAATAAATATGAAGGATCGGCAGGTCGTGCAGATCACGAGAGTGGGTCTAAAATGGTTTGCTCGACTGGATTTTGTGGAGGATTAGAGAGGTAACTCAATGTCCCAAAATCTATGACGTAATTTTCATTGGTGTAGTGGATTTCAGTTTGTCGTGCCTATAGATGTATCCCTCTTAGGGTGAACATGTAAATCTTTGTATTCTTTTGATGTATGTGTTTTATACTTCATTCTTGTATTATGACTCGTGCTATCTTTTGCTTTTAATTGGGTAAGTATACGATCTTCGTGGAATCCAATTTTTGGGATTCCTCTTTCCGTATCTAAGAGTAATATTAAATCCTAACAGTTCATTCATGACATTACTCAATTCAAATTCGGCGATTTCGATTTAACAAGGTAATTTTTTAAAGGAAAAAATTTTTGTAGAGTCGAGGCTCTAAACAATCAAATTTGAGCCTACTTCAAAATGTTTATTAGAAGAGGTTGTTTTGATACCCAAATATCTTCAAATTGATCATCTCGACATCAAGATGTACAGACATGAGAAAAAATGGATTTCAAGTTTTAGAAATAGTGTATTTTGTAATGCATTTTTAGACCGTCAATTTTCAAGATTTTCAAGTTTTCATAGACATGTTGATCTACCCTTATTTTGAAGCTTTGAACTTTATAAATAAATATAAAAATATATTTTAAAACTGTCACGAAGATTTCTAATAATAAAATCGCATTTCTCAACCCACTATTTGGAGGGAGGCTCTATACAAACCGCACCCATGATTAAAACACTGGGGATGATCAGGTATTTTTAACTATGATCCACCGAGGTGTCTAAGTGGTAATAAATTTAAAAGTCACATCTAAGGTTAAATCAAAACATAAAATTTGAGCACATAGTCGTTCTAAAGTACTTTGACCAAATAATCATTCTAAAGCAGTTTGCTCATTTAAATATAATATTTTTTAGAAAACATCACAAGAGACATTTGCGTGGTATGAACATGGTGATCTTTAAACAAGCCGGAGATTTCGGTAAAAAGGACATGTTGTATGCGGGAATTTGTAAGAAAGCAGTAGAGCATAATAAAAGAGATGAGGGCGTGTCACGCAAAAGGTCGACTGTGGAACCACGCTTGTGGGCCCTCCAACCTTAAAAACAGGAGACGCTTTCCATGTGACCCTCGCTGCATAATACAAATGGAGAGAGAGCTCGTGCTCGTGCTCGTGCTCTTGCTCTTGCTCTTGCCCTTGCCCTTGCTCTTGTGGGACACAATCTTAGCACCATTCAACCAAATATTCGTCGTTATTTGCCTCATGTTTGTTACTAACCAGTCACGGGGTGGTAATGGTCCCGGCCCAGATGGTCCGCGGTTTAAAAATTGGACTTGAGAGTAGTTAGGATTGGGTTCAAATCTGAGTTGGGTTTGGGGCTAAGATTTGGGACCCAAACACTGTCTGGTTTGCGTCTGGATCCATACAGACACAACTGGATCCGATCTGAATAGTATTAATATTTAAATATTTTTTATTTGTCAAAAAAATATTTAAATATTTATGAAATAAATATAACTATATATTTTATTTATAATATATATATACTATGAGACCCTTCCACACACATGTAAGTAGAACACTAAAAGATCACCATTAAATTTTGACACGGATATCTAAAAAAGTTATCAATAAACGGATTCACCGAAGTCCAACGCCTATGTGATAACTTTTCTAAATATCTGTATCAAAATTTAATAGTGATTTTTTGAGGTCCTACTCACACATGTCTTACTCACATGGGTGTGAGAGGGTCTCATAGTGTCATTACTTTATATATATAAACAAAATATTTAAATCTTTATATTGTTTATTTTTTTATTCAGGTCCAATTAGGCTCGGGTCCCACAAAACATTTTCGGGTTTAGGTCCTGGCCCAACCCTAATTTTGTCTTACCCTGACGTGAAGCCACGTGTGTAGGTTTAGATTTGTTTTGTTCCGTGTAAATTACAGTCTTTATATGATATTCAGAACCAATGAATAATTCGCTTTCATAGCTCAGTTGGTTAGAGCACCCGTTTAGTAAGCGGGAGGTCTTGAGTTCAAATCTCAATGAAAGCAATCAAAAAGTGAATTTCGAGGAAGCCCGATTTTTGTTGTGTTGTGGGGCCTTTGAAAAATGATTCCTCGGAAACCCGATTGGCCCACTTTTTTTTAATAGGCCTTCGTAAAAATGAATCCTAGGACAATTGGGGGCCCACGTTTTCAAGTTACTGTAATAATGCTCTTTAAAAGCATGAAATGTTTAAAAAAGATTTATGCTTTTGTAGTGGGGCTCGTGTCGAAGTACGATTCAACCACATTTTTCAAATTATTTAGATTGTATTTTCAAAGCTAGTGAGAGAAGGTTTTGAATTTTGGAGTGCCGCTTTGCCCAATAACTAAGCTTTGTATTATGAAGTTATGGTAAATGATATTATACTGCCTTAGGAGTATACTATCCATTTGCTCCCTCGGGTAAAATCTTTTTAAAACTCCAAAATTTTAGAGATATAACCACTTTAATATATGAGAAAGCTTTCTATGTTCTCCCTACATAGAAGTTTTATCTTTGCCTTTATCGAACCCTCCATTTTTGAATGGAGGGCTAAGATTGCTCCAATCACAATGTCACATCTTTATACTATTTTAGTTTTAATTTTTTTTCTATAAAACTATTTTGACACCAAATATTGGACGTCCATTCCTCTATTATATTCGTATTAATGAAAAATATAAAAAAAATATTTTCAATAAAATAAAATGACCAAATCTTTGAAAGTTTTAAGGGGTATTTTGATCATTATATTTTATTGAAAAATTATATTAAAATTGTATTCAGAATTTTTCTGAATATGATTTTTAAAAAAAAATTCAGAAAAATTGTATTAAAAAAAATTAAAAATAAAATACTTTGAGACGTCGGATCTAAGATCAAAAGGTGGGTGTCTCTCTTGATAAAAAAATAGACGGCTGGATGGTAGGGGAGGATAGAACTTCTATGTTGTAGGGAGAACATAGAAAGCTTTCCCTTAATATATAGGTTCCTTTAAGCATGATATAACCACTTTAATATATAGTTTAATCTCAATAAAAATAATGTCTTAATTGCACCCTTTAAGCACCTGGAAAAAAAAAATTAGTGTTTTAAGATTGAAAAGAAGCCGTCCAATTTTTAAAGGGTGAAATATAAGTATTTAAAAATCCAATTCTTTTAAAAAATAATCATCTAATGATTCTAAAGTGGTTACCAAAATTTCAATTTGAAAAAATCTTCCCGTCATCTGAGTGAGGGAGTATAATAAATTATGCTCCAAGGGAGCATGGTATTTGTGCTCAAAAAGTATAACTGTACTTTATATCCACTAAAGTCATGGTCGCGCTCAAAATTTAGTAAGGCCTGAAAATCTATGTTTTTCCATGTGCTATGAAATCTGAAACTCTAATAGTGTAAATTTTGTTGATCTATGAAAACTTAAAAGTGCATAATTGAGATAAAATATTACAACATCAAATTTATAAAAATACTGTTGAGAAGACTAATTGGTCAGATATCCTGTATAATCTCAATGTTACGTTTCTTTCGAGCAAGAGGGTGGTATTAATGGTTCTATTGATACTCTCTCTTTTGATAGAACTCATGATGTAACCATATAAGGTCTTCCTTGAGTACATCCCAATATGGGTGAAAGAAAGCTAGGGGTATTTATCTGGACATGAACCTTTATTTCTCCTCATAGGTAAAAAGGTGGTGCTATTTTTCCTCATAGGTAAAAAGGTGGTAGCACCACCTAAGCCTCAACTACTGGGTTAGGTTTTCACTGATTGAAAACCATTCACTATTTTCAAAACCATTCACTATTTTCAAAAATGGGTAGAGGCTTATAATCCACCACTAATCTGCCCAAAAGAAAAAAGAAAAAAAAAATCCAAATCCAAGGTTTGGCTTTCAAAAATCTTCTTTAATGGGTAGAGGCCTATAATCCACCACTGATCTGCCCAAAAGAAGAAAAAAAAAAAAAAAAAAAATCCAAAATCCAAGGTTTGGCTTTCAAAAATCTTCCTTAAAGGCACTCTATCTATGTGAAAAGCAAGTGGTTGTTATGAAGTGAAGGAAAAAAGCAAAAAGCTTAAATCTCTACATAAGTACCGCTCATGCGGCTGTTGAATTGGCATCTTAAACAAACGGGTACAGTTTGTATAGAGCTGAGGCTCTAAACAATCAAAATAAATCATAGTGTCGAGAAATGTGGTTTCAACACTTAAAATCTTTGTGATAGCTTTAAAATATATTTTTATTTTTAATTATAAAATTTACAGCTTCAAAAATAGTGTAGAACAAACAGATCTATGAAAGCTTGAAAATCTTGAAAATTGACAGTTTAAAAATACATTACAAGATGCATTATTTCCAAAACTTGAGATCCAATTTTTTCTCATGTTCATGCCTCTTGATGTCTTGATGTGGACATTTGGCCGTCAAAAGAATCTCTTATAGTGCATTTTTTGAGATGGGCTCAAATTTGATTGTTTAGAGCCTCGGCTCTATATAAACTTCCTAAACGGAAAGGTCAATTGATGCTTTTAAGGCCCTTCAGAATGGGGCTTCCACTCCCACGAAACAAATAGTGACGTCAGAACTTTAATAGGACGCTAGATTGTAAGGTCTCTCAGTAGAAATAGACCAAATCCAAGAGAAAAAGGAGCAAATAAGCTCGACGCAAGGGGAGATAAAAGGGAAATAAGTAAAAGGATAGAACAAAATTTTTTAGCATGCCCATTGGCTTTCTAGCAAGCTCACTCTGTCAAAACCTCTTTTGACTTAATTATCAAAATCCTTTTCTTAACAACAGAAAAAAGTGTAGATAGTAAAATGTGATCATTCATATACAAAAATGGTAATTACATAAAAATCCGCATTTAGTTTCAACAATCCCAATGCGGTCACAATGATCTCAATCCACATAGTGGCTGCAAATATACACTTGACAAGTGATCACCCCATAGACATCTCCATTTACAACACCATGACTTCTATGACCTTTTTCCCCCAGCTTCTATTGAACATTTTTCCATTATATTCATTCTACTAACTATAACCATGCCAAACTTTCATCTCTCTTGCATTTTGGCAGAGCAAGGGGAGAAGAGGGGGGAAGAGAGAGAGGTCTACCTCCGACACCCATGCATATCCCTCCATCTAAGATACACAAGCCCGGCATGATAATGCGTGTACGCACCGGCGACCACCAAAACATGAAAGAGCTGATGGCTATGGCCTGCAATATCAAACTTTCCAGGCATCCATCTCTCTGGGATTCTCGTAGCATAAACCAATGCCCCTAAGCCATAGAAAATTCCCATCAAAATCTCATAACCCGTAGTGTGAATTGCCTCTGGCTGGTCTCCATAAACAACCAGCTTATGTAATATCGGTGCAACACCCGAAACTCCCATGCCAAAGAAAAGCCAAGCTCTAATAGTTCGAAACTCCGGGTTTTGAAAGACTGGAAGGAGAGAGAAAATAACAGTTGCCACTCCCAAAAGGGTAATGGAGCTGAGATAGAGGTATTGAAAGAAGGGTTCACACATGAAGGAATAGTAAACAGGGGGGTAGAAAGAGGTGGCTATAAGGGCGGCTATGCCTGCATAATCAAGACGTAGCATGATGTAAGCAAGACGACGAGAGTGGCAAGAGAGAAGGTGGCATGTACTGCTTGCCAGGAGGCAAAACATGGCACCACCTAAGAAGGCGAAAAAGGGCCATCGGGTGATGGGTCTCACCAGAAGAGGTGCAATCATATTCCCCACGTCGTCTTTAATGCTTGTCTGTATTCAGAAACCCAAAAATACAAATAGAAGATAGGGTTAGAAAGACAGTGATGGTTCAGAAAAATGGTTGTTAAATGGTTTTATAATTCTTTTCCTAACAATGGTTAATTGGGAAGAAACACATGCATCTAGCTGTACGCTATGATTAGGAGTTCACCATCTTCCTTCCCAATTACTTGAATTTGGCAGCTTCACTGGAGGTTTACTGGATGTGCATAATGCTAACATCTGCAGCAAACGCTGTTTTCTTTTTATTGTTTTCCCGGCAATCACACCAAAAAATGCAGAGACTACAATGTACCAGATCCTCACAGGCCCAACTAAATTCAGAATACATAATCAGAAAAAACCCACACAGACCACTTCCGAAAGAGGTTAAAACTGGTTTAGCATGATAACGTTTGGAAAGACCCAGCAAAATTGGATGGAAGACCCCTAAGTCCAACCATTATATGGCCAAATTGGAGACCAATTTGGTTAAGCCCAAATTGGAGAAAATTGAATATACATATTTAGTTCCCCATCGTTGTACTTTGGGTTTATTTATGAATTAAGCTTGGAAATGAAATGAAAGTATTTTGGCAAAATAAAAGTTCCTTCTTTTGTGGAGTAATTTCTATGGTTTATAAATGGAAGGTTTAATGGGACTGTCAATATACTTATATATATTATATTGGGAATGTTGGTGTTCCTCTTGGGATGTTCCATATTACAATAATGACATCAACATTGTGAGTACCATAAACATATTAATATGCTCAAATAAACGAGCTTAATAGCATAGAACTATGGATCCTGCTTCCTGTATTTGTGCCTTTCTCAGGGTTATTCGTTTAGTTCTACAGTCAAGTAATTTTACCTTTGGAATAAGGGGAACAAAAGCTGCGTTAAAGCAACATTAAGCTTGCACCTCTTGTGGAATTTATGGCAAAAACACCAACGAGCTGCGGGATTTCCCTGTGGCTCTGATACCACTTGTAGTGAATTGTCAGAGGGAATTTTTTGTGCCTACCACTTGGTATCAGAGCTACAGAATTCCTGCAAAATAGTCACAATATCGAGAGAGAAAATATGTGCACTATTTTGACTTGAATTTTTTTCTCTCATTAACGCATAATCATCAAATAGACCAAATCATTGCACACATTATTCACATTTATTATTTCATTCATTACAAGCACACCCTATCTTCATTCATTAAACTCTCACCATTTCTAATACACCAATCAGGTGCCCCTCTTTCTCACTCTATACTCACTCCATAACTTCACACTTCTTACTCTCACTTCTCACTCTTACGCACTCCTCTCTACATCTCTCTTACTCCCTCACACCAATTGATCACTTCACTTAATCCTCACTTTGATACCTAACCGTCCTAGCACACCCCCTATTTATAGGCTACAAGCAGCACCATAGCCATCCATTATGTGGATGGGAGCATATGTCCCTTTGCCAATTGTGCCACATAATAATGGGAGCATGTTCCTTCACCTTGAGCCTACATAGCTCTTAAGAAACCTCTAAAGAAAGGAAGGGAAAGCCATTTGTTGGCTCCTACAATTCTCCCCCTCAACACTAGCTAATGTTCATGCCAAGTCTCTCTGTTTCTAAAAAAAAAATTTGATAAATGTTGACTTTTGCATTGCTATAAAGAGAAGAAGTACAAGTTTTGGTTAATCCGAGAGTACCCACTAGACGGGACTCTCGGTTAAAAAGAATAGGTCAACAGATCCTGTACAAAAAATGGGGTTATAGGATAGTCCCCTTACAAAATCTACAGTGAGGACACAAAAATTGACCCTTACAAAGTTTACAGAGAGTTTACAAAAATGGGCTAAGAAAGTTGCTCGTACCCAGTGAGTTGTTCTTGTAAGTTTATCCTCAATGGTCCAGAGCAGCAAGGGACTGGGTTTGGTCTTTGTCATGGGCCCTAGCCCCGTACTTCACCAGGAGGTCGGCAAGCTCGTTTGACGTCCTTGAGGTATGCATTCAGGAGACGGCCATATCCCTGCAGATGTGAACAATCTCATCATAAATCGGTGCCCGATACCAAGGGGGTGTAGACCTCCCGATTGCCCAAGTAATGATGTTTAAAGACACTATTAGGTGTTGCCCCCAAGATCAATCGAAGCTTCGATATTACATTGGTGATCTCTTGAAGGCCAAGATATTACGTTGGTGATCGATCGAAGCTTCAATATCACGTTGGTGATCTCTGGGAATCTTGAAGGCCAAGATATTCGGAGTAGGCGAAGAGGATATTACGTTGGTGATCTCTAAAGATACCACCTGCTCTTGCGTGGCCGGGGTTCCCCAAGGAGCACCCATCGAAGTTTAGCTTTATGGCTCCGTCAGTAGGGGGCTTCCAAATGGTTGATCTTTTCTCCTTCCTTGGTCGGTGGACAAGAATATTCTTCCATTGACTAGGGAAGGAGTTCGTAGGGATACCCTTGAAGACGTGTTGGTTTGACACCCAGAAGGTTACTGAGGACGTAACCTTGTGAAAGAGGGTTGAGACCGGGCTGATTTGTCCTTGGAAACTTCTGGCATTTCTTTCTGTCCAGATTACCCAAATGGTTGTTGCCACTGCTGCCTTCCATAGGATTTTACTGGCCCTTGGCCATTGAGAGGCAAATCGACAACCATTAGGTGTCTAATCGTTAGTGGTGTTACCCAGTAACAGTTGTAGCAAAACGCTCCAGAGGTCGTGGGCAAGGTTACAGTGGATGAAAAGGTGAGGATAAGATTCCTCCTCGCACAAACACATAATGCATCTGTTGGGGATTGGGATCCCTTTCTTTTGTAGGTAGTCGACTGTAAGTGCCTTTTGGGAACCCGTTATCCGATTGAAAGTTTGCACCTTGGGAGGTGCTATAATATTCCAAATCTGGGCAAAAACCGATGGGGGATTAAGTGGGAAAGTGGGATGTTGAATGACTTTCTTGTAGAAGGAGGCCACAGAGAAGGCCTCTGATGGAGTGAGGGACCATACCAGTTGGTCCCGTCCTTGTGTAGGGAGGAAAGAATGGTGCAATAGTGCCGAGAAGGGGAAAAAGTGGTTTGTTTTCTCTTCAGAGAGGTTTCTTCTGAAAGAGGAGTTCCACTCTCTTCGACCTACCTCCACCACCATTTCATCCTCTATTGTGGCATCTATGTTCGCTGCGATAGAGTAAAGGGATGAATAGAGGTCCCTCAGTGGTGCGTGTCCTAGCCAAAGATCTGACCAAAAGTGCACTCTTGTTCCTTCTCTTGGGTGAAACCTGATGTATTTTTTGAACAATGCGAGAGATGAGGTGAAAGATTTCCATGCTCCTGATTCATTGGTCCCAGGTCTCCTTTCTGGCACCCAAGTGTTTTGAGGAATCTTGTATTTACTCCATAGTACTTGAGCCCAGAGAGAGTCCGTTTGAGTGGCCAGACACCACCACCATTTCCCTAAGAGAGCCAAGTTGTGTTTCCTTAAGAGCTTGATTCCCAACCCCCCCCATGTTTTTTGGGTAAACATACTTTATCCCAGGAAATTAAATGCAATTTGGCTTTCTCGGCCTGCCCTGACCAAAGAAAGTTCCTCATGAGTTGATCGAGTCGATTAGCCACTGAAGTAGGTATTTGAAAAAGAGACATAAGGTACACAGGTGCATTGGCCAACGTTGCTTTGATTAGAATGGTTCTTCTCGCTTGAGAGAGGAATCTCCCTTTCCACCCCGCCTCGCGTCCATCAACCTTGTCAATCACATGGGACCAATGTCTCGTCTTAGGTTTGCCCAGCCCGAGGGGTAGACCCAGATAAGTTGTTGGGAGATCCTCAACTTTACACTCCCAATTTGGAATGAGCTCTTTGATTTGTGCATTGGCAATAGCTATACCCATCATTTTTTATTTTACCACATTAACCTTGAATCCTGTGGCCAATTGAAAACATTTTAGAAAGAGTCTCAAGTTATCCACTTCTTGGGGAGATGCATCAAGGAATACAAAAGTGTCGTCTGCGTATTGCAGATGAGACACTATAGGCCCACGGTGGGAAGTTTTGAATCCTGTGCGGAGACCAGTTTGATAAACACGGGACAAGGACCACCTAAAGACTTCAGCTGATATGGCAAAGAGGAAAGGGGAAAGGGGGTCCCCTTGGCGTAATCCCCTCGAGGAGGAGAAGAATCCTCTTGGAGTGCCGTTCATGAGCATCGAAAACTGTGGACGAGAGGTTGACACATTCTTCAACGACCCCTGAAACCCATTCTTGCCATAGTCTCATCCAGAACGGACCAATCGACGTGGTCGTACGCTTTCTCCTAGTCAATCTTGAAGATGAGGCCCGCCTTTTTTGCCAAATGCCTGGAGTGGATACACTCGTGGGCAATTAGCGCACGGTCCAGGATCTGCTTATCTTTAATGAAGGCTGTCTGTGAAGATGAGATAGTAAAGAGGGGACTTGTTGTAGTCTTGATGCCAACACCTTCGCCAGGATTTTATAGGAGGAGTTGAGCAAACTGATAGGACGATAGTCCTTAAGTTCTTCAGCCCCTTCTATCTTAGGGACCAAGGCTATGAAGGTAGCATTAATGGCTTCATGGAGTATTCCCCGGTCGAAAACTTCAATGAAGAAACTCATGAAGTCAGGGCGGAAAGTTTCCCAGAAGATTTTGAAGGGGGCAATGGGAAACCTATCAAGGCCTGGAGCTTTATCTTTTGGCAGGTCATCTAAAGCTTTCACGACTTCCTCTTCTAAGAAGGGACGCTCCAGCCATTGAGCTTGTTCTTCCGACAAGGTATGGAAGTCAAGGTCAGCCATGGCAGGTCTAGGGCCCCACGGAGCAGCATAAAGGTCTGGAAGAAAGAAAGAATAGCCGACTCAATTTCTCCCGGCTGAACCAGATAGCTATTATTGGATTTGATGATCGAGATAGAATTATCTCTCCTTCGGCAATTCGCTATCCTAAGGAAGAAACGAGTATTATGGTCCCCTGCTTTGAGCCAATTGATTATAGATCTCT